TAAGAATATTATTATTTATTTAATTAAAGGAATATTTATGAAAAATGATCTATGAAAATCTTTTATTTATTTAATATCGCTTCGTATGAAAAATAAAAACTCCGTTAAATCATGCATACAGAGATGGATGCCTAAAGCAGATTTTACATGCATCGGTCCAAGAAAGTTACTAATCCGTGTAAAGATTTAAAGTTGAAAGTAAACAGGAAGATCATGTAACTGCAACTAAGGAATGTCTGGTACAGCAGATAACACGCAAGTATTCTTTTCAGTCAAATCGACTAACAAGTAAGTTAATTGTGGTTACGTGCAACAATAGATTTCTCTCCCAGATAGCACACAAATCTCTTACGAACGGATTAAATACGTCGACTAAAAGCCTAAGGATGTCCAGAAGTCGTCTAAACGACGTTCAATGTTACAAATCAAGTTTTCTTTGAACGTGGCGTTGCGAAGCACTATGCGCTGACATTAGAAATGTTTTAAGAACGTCTTAAAGACGTTCAGATCAGGTTGTGAAACATTCAGACTAAAAATTGACGTAAAATAGACATCTCTAAAACGAAATCTGCTATCTGGGCTGTTTATTAAGACTTATTTAGACAGGCTTATCGCACTTAATAAAAATATTAGTCAAATAAAATTAATAGACTGGAATTCTAATTCGAATATTTTATTTATCGAAAGACTATGTCAATCGTAATCTAAAAGCTGAAATATCTAGATAATGAACAAACTTCTATTTAAATAACTCAAAATTCGTTTATATAGCTAATGCAAACTACATAAGAATTAACGCTATAAATGGCGTTAAATGTATGAACATGTCTGAAGATAACAGTGGAAAGACTAACAATCAAATACAGTAGTGCACGCATAAGTGCATAAGTCCATCGCTATCCCCACAAATTCTTGGAAATGGAACATCGGAGTGGAGTTCGAGCGTGCCGTGTGAAACAAAGTAATTCGATATCGACTCCTGAATGTGAACAACTGACACTTGATATATCGGTATCCCACTCAGACACATCTCCTCTCTTTTGTTTAGTTAAATTCGTAGAAGTCACCTCCCCACTTAAGCGTCCGCATTCGGTCCCGACTGCGGACGCTTATGTGTGCACTACTGTACTTATATACATAGTTGCGTGGGCCCGGCGTTGCCCGGGCTTTTTAAATTTTAAAACCATCCAAACAGTTTATATTTCTTTAAAAGATCATAGTTACTTATTTTTTATTTTATTTTCGAGGGAGAATATGTGAAGAATCAATTTTCCAGATTGAAATTATCGAGCTACAGCACAAAAAATTGCTCGGGTTTAAGGGAGGATGAGTTTTAGGGGCAGTTGAGGGTGGGAAACCCCACAGTACTTTTTTTAAAGTGTCGAAGAATATTCATGCCAAATTTGGCAAGCATACGTTGAACGGTACAGAAACCTTCACCTAACATACATGCCTACATATTTTGATTTTTATATGTACCGTTTTGTATTTAAATCAATTAAGAATGTAATTAAAATCCGTGGAACAAATATGTAAATTATGTTTTAAGGTCCGTATAATAAAAGGGATGACAAGTGATGACTAACGGTATTTCATGTACTATCAGACAAATGAAAAATGTCAATTAGCATTTTTAATATTTCAAGTTTCTTTCTATGACTAACGCATCGTAAACCTATATGACCAACGTATATAAATCAATTAGCTAGTCGGATTTTATGAACGAAGACCACTAAACGAATTTGAAGTAGGGAAAACATAATAGGGCCCCGACTGAGGGTTCGGTTTCTTATCTTCTCATATTTCTGTCAATTCTCTTGTTAGAACACTCGAAACATGTTTACTTTGACTCCTGGCCGATTTTACGAGCTCGCTACATTTGTTCCAACAACTTTACTAATCTGAATTATTACGATACCCCAAACTCAAGTTCCTATCGATGTTCCTACCGTTTGTTCCCTTGTATTGCTCTTCTCGTTATTGTATCGCTTCATCGTTACGGCGACGCATGAATTAATCGATCGAAACTGACGATTCTTTTAGAGCACGCTACTATTGGTAGCTTTTACGACAGTGCACTCGAAACCAGCACCAGAACCACCGGTGAGCTCGTATTTCCCTCCGTCATCGACTGGCGGTGGTAACTATGGTCCACCCTCTGTTCCGGACACTTATGGACCACCTCAGCAACCGCCTGTCGTTCACAAGCATGTTTACGTGCACGTGCCACCTCCAGAAACACCAGAATACAAACCACCAAAATACATACCACCCGCAGCGCCACCACAGAAGCATTACAAGATCGTGTTCATAAAGGCGCCAACTCCACCAACCCCGACAGCTCCTGCTCTTCCACCGTTGTCACCTCAAGATGAGGAGAAGACGTTGATCTACGTGTTAGTGAAGAAGCCGGAAGAGGCGCCAGATGTAGTACTCCCAACTCAAACACCAACGCAACCTAGTAAACCGGAGGTTTACTTCATTAGATATAAGACACAGGTACTTACACTTACTTACCGACACATAGTATACACGTCGTTTAAATACAGGCCGTAATATCTCTAACATTTACAAGCTGTGAGGTGGAATCAACATAATTATTAATGCAAAACCGATGACCAATTAAGCGGTTCTTCAAAATTAATTTTCATGAAAACAAAACTTTAAAGAAAACACTTTATACTTTATATTTATCACTTTAACTTTGCTCGAGAAATCAGTAGCATAGAATATTTCATCATCGAGTGCATTTCTCTTTAAGGCGTCAAGTAAGAGTATTTTATTTTGCATAGAGAAAAAGAAAATGAAATAGGAATTAATTAAAAGAAAGTTAGTTAAGACATGTATCTTACGTAAGTGTACCAATTATTTTGAAACTCGATGAATCATTTTTTTATATTACAGAAAGAAGCACAGAACGCAGAATATGGACCTCCGCAACATACAGCACCTTCAGATAACTATGGTGCTCCACCATCAAGCTCTGGCGGACCCTATTAAATAATTTTATCACGAGTGATGATGTTTCCTATTGATCAAATACAAGGTTGCAAACTTGTCAGAACACGTGAATCTCGTGAATTAGAGAGATGTTACCTGGTAAAAATGTTCATCATCTATGAGATTTTGAAAAGGTCGATCTGCACGTAATACGATTATTGTTACTCGGTTTTGTAGGTTTACAGTTAGACTTAGACACTGTGTCTATTTATTTATCCTTGCAAATGATTAAATTGCATTATGTTAGATATTTGACTACAAAATTGATGCACACTATCTGTATAATTATTTGTTTGTATTAACAGCTTAAATTATTACAAATGAATTAAAAAATTAACTAATATGCTATGTCTTCAGTACGAATACCAACTTTTTTTTTTGTAGAATACTGACACAGGATCACCAAATGTAAGAAAGTAATGGTAATTTCTGATTAACACCAGTGAAAATGATTGTAACAAATGTATGTATATTTGAATAAATCTATTTGTACTTTTGTAGAATTCGTTTACTCTATTATTCTTTTTTTCCTTAGATCCCTGCTAAAAACTATAAGAGATCGCAAATAGAAATTTAATTCAATATAAACATATTGGTCATAAAAAACAGAAAAGAAGGATAAAAAATAATTCATAAAAAGTTACAATTGGCTGTCTCAAAATCATCGGCGCAAATAACATTGGATATGTTTCCTTGCATATATGAAAAAATTGTAAATCTATAGTTAATGCCAATTAGGGCAAAAAATACTATGTCGCTTATTTTGAATAACCTGCAAAAATAGTCTGCACAGTTCGAAACATTCCTTCGAACAATTACAACCTGTGCAAAAATTTCTTATACCTATATTTCACCCCAGCATCTTCGAATAGAACTATTTATTTCATTTTGAACCCCTGCTTTATAGTACATTTATATTTTTCTTTTACCTATTTATAATTAAATTTGAGCTTATACAATTCAATTTGTAATACGTTCCGTGCCGTGTATAAAAACGAAAAACTTCATTAGACGGAAAAGAATATTCTTCGACTTAACGTGCAAGTAAAATAAGTGCAAAGAAACATTAAAATTTTCCTATAACACGGAACGTATTAGAAAACGAATCCAACATTAATTTAAGTACTTTAAAAATACCATTAAAAATATGAGTACATTTACAAGGTATAAACGTACGAAACAATAGAAATACATGTTACAGTATTCGATCACTTTTAACGAAATATTTTTTATATGACTATAGTATTTTAAAAACATTTTTGTACGTATTAAAAAGTTACCCTTATTTGTATATTAGACAATATAATATTCCCAGTAAAGAGTATAGCCGAATAAGCGGGTCAAAAGTGTCCCTAAACCAAATTCGACTAGCAATACGTCATTCGATAGCTTATCAAAAAAAAAAACTATTTATACCAAGTTTTAACTATTATTCTGAATTTTGCGACGAAAAAATCCGTTTTTAATTTTTTTAACTATACGCATAATTTAATTAAATTAAAATCTATTATCCCTTTCCTTTAAGTAGTAATGTGTTGTATTGTTATTCAAGTTTTTTAAAACGTTTTTTAAGTAAAAATTTTTTAAGCAATATGGAAATGATAGGATAAGATAAATAAATTACATGGCCGCAATAGTAAACGGAAGAATAAACCTGATGATAACGAGGATATGTTAAAAAGGCGAAACAAATCAAACTGTAACCCATGAAGACAAACGTGAAGATCATCCTTAAAATCCAGGAAAGAATCCGAAGTACAGAATAACTTTTTAAGAGACTCTGTAATTTCTCGTGTCCCTTCAATATTTGAGTTAACTATAACAATTAATATAAAACTTGATTTATTATATAATATTCCATTGGCGAATTATTAAATTGAATTTTTTTATAAGAATATTTCCCAAGTATTTGTAATAACAGTAACATAACGACATAATAATTAATGTATAAAATATGAAGCTATTAAACAATCATTAAAGTTATTAAATAATGATTTTCTCATTATCCATTGAATAATTGATTGTTTCATTGTTGCTTGTATAAAATAATAGAATTGACGCATAAGCGAAATTACACTTACATCTGTTTCAGCATACATGATAATGTACTCCAGAAAGAAGCAAACATAATATCCCGAATGCAATCCATGCCATATTGCAAGGAAAAGTAGAGTTAAAAATTGACTATATAATTTTGATCCCAAAAATTTCAACCTTTTGTAAATGTATTCTGCACACCAGTTATTGGTGTTTATATTAAATGATTTAATATAATCATTAAAGTGAGTTGAAGTTTCAAATGTTAACAATTTAACATTTTCACAACCATTCCAAAGAGAGTGACCTTTTTCATCTTTTCCATTGTAAGTGAGACCAAAAGTTGTACAAACCTAAAATGGAGATCACTTTCTATAATATAAGATAAATAGAAGAATAATTATTACCTTCATTTTCTTATAAATTATTTTCTTTATTTGGAAATTGTTAATCTACCATTTTGTTGTTTTAATGATATTCTAAATTATTTCTAAACCAGAAAAAATATATATCGCAAACATATACATATACTTTCCTTACCCCTTCAGCAAATAACCAGCAAACAATGTATTTATAAAGACTAAAATGGCCCCAAAAGCCAATCAAAATAAGACGTTTCAAGAAAGCCTGCTTTCCAAATTCTGGACTGAACAGATACTCATCAGGGATATATTGAGTCCCTAATAGGTAGAGTATGGTATATATAAATCCGACACATATTCGAAGTATGCCAGGAACAAGACAATCAGGATATTCAATTGTAACATTCCCAGAATTCTGAAAGTACAAAAAATAAATTATTTCTCATGGAAAATTCTATCTTATTTAGTTACACAGAATGTTATTCATATCTCATTTATGTTGATAAAATTTTGAATAAATAAAAATGAAAACTGCTACTATAAAATAAAATTCAATAAAAAGTTATTACATAATTTAAAAATTTGCTTTTCATAATACTTCTTAATTACTCAATCCATACAACTTACAGCATCTACGTTGTCTGTTATATGTCGACCTTGCACAAAGTTTAAGTATCTTTTCATGCTAAATTGTGGCCCAACCAAAAATGCTCCTGGAAAATATGTAAATGCTGCAATTTGTAAAAGCGTTGGTTGTTCTTTCAAAGCCAATTTCTCCTGTGATACAGATAAGTTTTCCTAAAATGATAATTTCATTACTCAACCAAAACTTCTTTCCTTCGAATGAAAATTTCTCTTTTTAACAGTCTTAACCCATTTTCTTTAATCCGGCTCTTTATTCAACCATTAAACATTTATGCTGCATGTATTATACTACTCGCTTCGTGTACGTACTTTGGATTTTCTGCCGTCCATCAAATTGAACGCTAGACCGATTAATCGTAGTGTTAGTACGCATTGTGGCATAGTCCATTTTATATCATAATTATCTGTACCTGTTGCATAATAGCCTGTCATAGATGAAAATAAATATTATTTTAGTATAATCTAAGATATCTGTACTGTTAAATTTGTCCGTTTTGTATGAAACATAATGAATATATGTACCATGAAATTATAATTGTCTACACCTATCAAGTTTTCTATTTGTGAAACTGCATTGGTTTTTGATAAAGATAATTATTGAATAAATGTACTGAATTATGGAATTTTTAACTTATTTAAAACAAAAAAACCATAACTTTATACGGATTGTTACATGCGCAGCCTAGCCGACACGGCAACGCCGAGTGTTTAGTATATCTTGCACCCCCTGGCTAGCGATAAGAGCTAGGGCACGAAGCGAACGCGTTCCGTTCCCACGGAATCTAGCCCTCCCACTATCGAAAAATACAATTTTCGGAGTATATAAAGGGTTAGGTTTTGACGCTCTGGGGTTCAGTCTTTTATCGGAATGTCACTCTGACGGTCGGAGTGTTGACAGGACTTAGTCTTGAGACAGAACGTTGCTCTTCCAGTAGAAACGTTGAACGCGAGCAAGATCGGGTTGTGGTCCCTTTCGAGCATTTTACAATTATATTCTCAATACTGTCTAAGACACCCCCGCAGCTCGTCGCGTAAAATCGAGAAGGCATATTCTCGTCAAGCCGAGAATTGACCAATTCAATTATTTAACTTTCATTATAATTGATCATTGGATCATTGTAACTTGTAACTTCAATCTTATACTAGAATATATCTCGTTGTTAAGTCATACTCGCTCATTTCAACCAAACCTATCCATGTGTAAATATTAGTAACGATCAAAGAAGACTTACGACGATATATCTTTACCGTTCAAGATATATCAACTATTAGAATACGTGAGGTTCACGACCCTTTTACGTTGTGGCTTCCGGTGTTATCCATACACCGGATCGTCTGAACCATTCCCATCTACCGGGACCTCGCGTCGCGTAACAGGATATGTATTCATATTTCCACTTTTTATAATTACAATTTATAATAATGTATATATTTTATGATAACAGTCTGCATAATTTCTGATAAGTTGCAACAGTGTAATAAAAAAATTGTCGACACTGAAATCTTAATTTTTTCTTTGTAATGAAACTTTACATATTTTTTAACTTAAAAAAATTTATGATTTTAATATTCAATATTCTTAGAATTTGTTTCCTAGTCTGTGCAAATGCAATTTTTTGCATATTTTTTTGTCAGTTTATCGCAAAATTCTTAAAAATCTTGCAGACTATTATATCATAAATATATTTTATAGAATGTTCCACCAACTCTATGCATCTTAAATATTCCCATTATTTCAAATAATAAGCAAAAACATTACTTACAAAGTTGTACGTTTGCAAGGAAAATATAACATGATGCTGATAGTTTCTTTACAGGTGGGTGCATAGAGTAGATCTGGAAGTCAATTTTGTTTTTTTTTAAGTGGAATGTCTTATTTTTTATAGTTAAATTAGATAGAATAACAAATTTTTAGTATAAAAGTACTAAAATACGTATTCGACTTTGTTCATCCTATTACGAGGGTGAATTGAAAAGTTCGCGACCTGAAAAGTATGAAGGACTGATGTACAAAACTTGTACAAAACTATATAAGGCTGTTGTTTCGAATGTCCGCAGCGGACAATCGAGATGAAACTTCGTGGGTATTATGAGGGGATGTCAAAGGACCCCAAATGTAAGGTTTTAAATTTGGGAATTCACCCGTTCGGAAGATACAGGTTCTCATGTATAAAGTATTTTCTACGCTATTTGCTTGCTAATTATGTGCTTTATGTACTTCATTACAGTTTGAATGGACTTAAAATCACCATCAAATTGCTATGACATAGTTATGATCGGTTTACATGCTTCAAATATATATAACTCGCCGATTTTGGCAGATTTGTTAGATTAGATTAGCTTAGGTTAAAACCTGTATCTTTTGAACGGGTGAATTCCCGAAGATAAAATTGTATATTTGGAGTCCTTTCACACTACTTTATAACACCCACCAAGTTTCATCTCGATTGGCCACTGGGGCTATTTGGAACAATATCCCTATATAATATGTAATCATTTATGTACTGATGTATCGAGTTTCGTGGCTCTGTCATTTTTTTTCTCTCTTTTACAGCTGGTCAAGTACAAGTGCTTGTAGTGATAAAGTAGAGATGGATAAAACTGGAAAAGGAGCAGTGATCCAATACCTAGTGATAAAGGACCTCACTACAAGGGTCTTGACTGATCTTTGCAATGAGGTCCTTTATCACCAAGTACCAAATTACTCTGCTCCATCACTGCAAACACCTATACTTTACCAGCTGTAAAAGAAAGAAAAAAAATGACAACTCCAGATCTCTTCTATACCTTTACCTGTAAAGAAACTATTACCACTATGTTGTGTTTTTCTGGCCATCATACAACTTTTGTAAGTAATGTGTTTGCTTATTATATGAAATAATGGAAATATTTGAGATAGACTGAGTTGATAGAACATCCTGTACATATGTACAAAAGATAATATATAATGATTTCTTCATACCGCATAAAAGATAAACCATGTTGAAGGTGAAAGTAAGAAACACAGACAAGGATGAACCTCCAAAAAGTTTTAAGATGCAATAAGTGATGCATACTGATACTGCTGAATGAAATGTATTCAGTCCTGTAAGTATTATTTGTTAATAGTTAATTTAATAACTGATTGATAGAACTCATTGAATAATGTTCAAGAACATTTATAAAAACAAATTAAATTTATAGAATAATTTTAAACATTTTATCTAGCAGGTAAATAAAGAAATACAACTTTCAAATTTTTGTTTTCAATCAATGCCAGTCCATTTGATAATTCAGTATATTTTAATGATTTTTAAAATAATAAATACTGCTTTTCCTAAACTATCAATCTATTTTTTTGAAATATAAGTATCTGGTTTAATTGTATATAACAAAAAGGTAATGTAAAATCATATAAGAAAGTTAATTGAAAATTTATTTAAATAATACTTTTCAAGGATAAATAATTACCATAATTCCATAAGCAGAGCAACATGCCACAGGTTGTAAAAAATACATGTTGACGAGTTGGACATTTTCCATATAAAAAGTACCTGTGCACAAGGGCGATGGGTAATCCTGAAAGTTTAGTTGTAGATATATTGCTCTTACATATCATTGAAACTTTTTAAAAAACATTTAACTTTACATCCTCTTTATAAGTTAAACATTATCAATTTCAAAATAATTAAAAATTATGAATTACAAATTAATTATAACATCAAGCTTTTAAAATTTTTTAAATAATAGAATTTAATGAAATAAGAATATTAGGCTTTACATTAGACATAACTAATGTTACATCAATGTGTTTATTCCATAACTAGTTAATTATTACGAAAGTACTAACTATAAGCAAGAATTTTTCTTATAAATACAATATCATATCAACATTTATATTTTAAAAGACGAAAAAGGAAACAAATATAAGTGAATTAATATTTTAGTATGATACAAGAACATAATCGTGACGCATTAATTTTAATTGATATTAATGTGTATTATTTTCGTTATACTACCCAAAAATCGACAAAGGAAATTGTAATTTATAATTATAGACTCCGTAATTAAATTATAAATATAATAACAATTTTGTTATTTCTATTGAAATTTTCTTAATATTAATTACATTTAAAACAAATAAGGAATAGAAATGTAGTAAATACAAAGAGGTAGGATAAGGAAGAGAAATTACAATTCAAGCAAATAACAAATATCTTTATACTTATAATTACTATAACGAATACACAGTAACATATTAATAATTTTTAATATTAGCAATAACTTCAAATAGATAACTTGTACATTCCTCCACTGATAAAACCCTATAGGTTAGATTACATATATTACAATTTGATAGAAAATTATTTTCGTATAAAACAAACATTTTTTTTTTAATTAAATAAACCCTAATGGTAAAAGGAAGTATCAATTTCTATTACAATAATCATTATTATAAATAAATTTATGATATACAAGAGAACTAAAACATCGATCAGATAAAATATCGATATCGATATAGTTAGTCGCACATTTTAATGCGACGGTAAACTATATAATCTTTTTTAAACACTTCAAGAATGTGGGAACGCACAACCACTTTTAAATTTAAAAATAATTTCAGTTATAATCAAAAGTACAAATACACAGGAAACCACATATGTGAAAAGTAAATTAAAATGCAATCTGGTTATGCAATCAATAGTTAATTAAAAGCAAATGAATTCAAGGTACACTTATCATAAGTTTGGAATACAATATGATGTACGAAACTCATACAAGAGAAAGGAAACAATATCTTTTTAAAAATTTTATTTACCAAGCAAAATGGAGGTAACAAGACGAATTCCAGCATCAGATGTATTTACAAACAAATTACTGATCGACATTGTTGATTTTTTTCAAAGTTGATTTCTTATTTCTTGGTTTTCGTTTCTTATATAAATTTTTATTAAACTTTTTGTTCTTTGAAGAATTTTTTAATAAGAATCTGTGTAATTCCCTGGCGTAATATCATTACTCATTTTCACTAAGGTTATCCAAAATTTATACTAGACACGAACAATGAAAATTCAGCGTAACGGTATAAGAAGTGTTCTGAAAGACACTAAATTAAAATGGATGAAAATAAAATTCTCCAAAAAGATTATAAAAAAGAAACATACATTGAAGTAGGTCCTTTTGTCAAAGCTTATAAAACTAA